TATATATTTTTACAAATAATGAAAAATTTCATGCAATTGCAATGAATGAAAAATTTTATTTCAAATTTTTATATTATTTTTTTTTTCATCAATCAAATTCATCATTTTCTTTTTGTACTACGATTACCATTCGATTCTGTACACGAATATATTTTACTATGATATTAATATCACGAGTTAGAAGTGAAACCTTCAAATAAACAAGTTTCGTGGATATAATTTATTATTCAATATTATTGTAATATTATTTGTACTTTTAATTTGTAATTATTTATTTAATTATTAATTTTATTATAAAAATGCGCGCCTGTTCGTATGCAACCCTCCAGACATACTTTGAAAATGTTGCTTGCGAGCGCCATCTACTGGGACGGAATTTTTTTGCAGTCAAAACTGTTTATACGAGTATGTATGACGGGTTGCCTATCTTTCGGGCAGAAATACATTCCATCCAGAGAGATGACGCTCGCAAGCAACATTTTTTAAGTCTGTCTGGAGGGTTGCATTCATACAGGCGCGCATTTTTATAATAATTACAGAAAAAGTAAATAATAAAACACTTTAAAAAATATTTGCAAATCTAATATTTTTATAAATAATGATTATTTATAAATAATGATATGTTTTCAAATCACACCACCCATTCTAAAGAAGTTTTCACTTCAAAAGGTGGATTTTTTTTTATTGAGACTTAAGATTTTTTTAACTCACCCTTGTATCTGTCAATAAACATTTTTATGTATAATTAATTATATATTATTGTTTGTTTTTTAGATCACAACAATCAGTCAATCAGGAAGCTCATTATGGCGAAACGAAACGCCTCCTCCCATCAACGCACCAACAACATGATTTCGTGCAACCATGCTAAATATGACTTAGTATCGAGCTTGGTATCGGTTTCTCAATGTACCCGAAAAAAGGACACACATCGAATTACATACGCGTTGAACGTTCGGCTGCGATCTAAAAATGATTTTAGAAAAGGATTTTAGACGCGCCTTATTATAGAGACAAAAAGACTCATTCGACGACGACGATGACGACGACTACGAACGATGAAAGTAATGGGAAAAGTTAGCCATAGAAAATGAAATTAATATAATTTTACAGTTTTATCATTTTTTTTTGTTTTTACTTATTTTATTATTTATAATTATCAAAATTAAGAAATAGAGTGGAAGAGAGAGAGAGAGAGAGAGAGAGAGAAGAAGATACACGTTCGTTCGATAAGAAATAGACAATAGTAATCTCAATATGGACGTCGGACGCCATCTTTATCTTTAAAATGATTTAGCCAAATGTAATTGAAATAAATTTGATTTTATTTGAAAATCAAACATCGAATATTATCAAAATTCTAATCCCATTTTTACATCATCCAAAAGAATTATTTAATATTCGATGTTATTTGTTTAATTAGTGTATATCTGATTGATTATATTAGAAAATGTTGATATTTGTTCGAAAAATTTAAGAATATGACGTTAAAAAAAAAGTATATATATATATATATATATATATACATATAAATATATACATAAATATATGTGTATGTATATACATAAGTATTATAGTCTTAAAAAGGAAAGCTTCTTTTTCCAGCCGTCCTTATGTCGATATGTCGTACGAAACGTCGAAAGTCTTCTAAAGAAAATAAACGAGATCGGTTTCATTGAAAACTATGACTGATTTCCGAGATTTCTTATCGAATACTAAAAAAAAAAAAAAAAAAAAAATTAGAAATATCTTGCAATGTATGGAAATTAAATTTGGCAATAGGTACGATTAAAAATACAGAAAGAAGGATAAAAAAAAAAAAAAATCAAATAGGAAGAAAAGAAAGCAAAACGTTTCTAATTTGAAATTAAATTGAACATATGATCGTTAATGAATAATAACAACAATTATTAATACATGTTCATTCGAAATCGTTAAGGTGAAAAATTAGAGGAAAAAAAAAATTGTTATCAATTTGAACGATTATTAAATTATTAACATTAACAAAAATTGTTTACTACGAAATTTTTGTCTCTTTTTTTATTTTTTTTTTTTTTTTATTTTTTAAAAAGATATTACAAAATAATTTCGCGTTTAAAAGACAAAACTAATAATCGATTATGTAATCTCTTTTTTTTCGTATTTTTTTATTATATTATTTATTCCAACATGGGAGAAAATAAAATCTTTAAGATAATTTGATTCACAGTATCAGATATCGTTTATTCGATTTTAAACATTCGCGAATTTTTTCGAATGTGAAAAAGAATGCAATGTTTTATTCTTCTTCTTTTTTTATTCTTTCTTCATTTTTTTTTTTTTTCTTTTTGTTCTTCATCTCCCTAAGTAATTCGCCATTGTGTGATATAAAGGCTATGCTCGTTAAATGCCATCAAATAACAATTTACGAAAATATCAAATTATAATCATGAAACGGCACAAGACGATGACGACGACGACGACGATGAATGGTTAAAAAACCATTTAAGTGCTCATCAATTTCGTTACAATTCGCACGATTTGTCAAGAAGACTGAAAAAAAAAAAAAAAAAAAGTAAAAAGAAGAAACGCAAAGACAGAAAGAGAAAGAAAAAAAGAGGGTGAGAGTAAAAAAGACAGAGAGAGAGAGAGAGAGAGAGAAAGAAAAAGACAAAGAGAAAGAGATAGATATAGAGAAGTAAATCGATTGTGACTATGAGGAGTATGAGAATAAATAAATAAATAAATAAATAAATGAATGAATAAATGAATGAATTATATAAAATAAAATAAAATAAAATAAAATAAAATGAAATAGACAAAAGAAGGAATGATGAACGAGCGTAACAACACGCGGAATGTATATTACTCGTACGTGCCATAAATTTAATGAATACTCAAAATGTGGTGTTGTTGCTCGGACGCGACTTTAGTGTTATATTGTACATCTAAAATTAGTATTAAATTTAGCAGTACGTGTTTAAAGCGACAGTTATGAAACGTTTTCTCGTTTTTTCTAATGATATCGATGTAAATTACAAACAATAACATCGATATCGATCGAAGAATTGATTATTGTCGATCGGAATGAGTAAAGAAGAAGAAGAAGAAGAAGAAGAAAAAAATAAATAAATAAATAAATAAAGGATACAGTTTTATTCGTACTTAAGAAATTTAAATAATTATATTTTTAGGAAGAGTCGTGTCGAACTTTTAACGCCTCTCGTCTCTATTAAACTTTTTAACATTTAGTCAATGTTTTAAAAAAAAAAAAAAAAAAAAAAAAAAATAATTAAAAAATAATAAAAGAAAGAAAGATAAAGGAGAAAAGAGAGAAAAGAAAGGAAAAGAGTAAATGTAAAAAAAAAAAATAAACAGCTGCGAGTAAAAACTGTTAAAAGATTCAAAAAGTTCTAAACAGTTGTAACAATAATCTCGTTTGTAAGTAAGAAGATAATTGTCCATTGTACTTCATTTATTTTTCTATTTTTCATTTATTATAATTATTCTTATTATTATGATTATTATTTCTATTCTTATTATTCTTATTATTATTTTTATTATTATTATTATTATTAATATAATTCGTATAAAAAAAAGCACCTGTTTCATCAGTGAGTCTTAATAAAATATTTAGAAATTGGAAGAATTAATAATATTCTTCTCATTTTTAGATTTTGGAACGATAATCAAGTTAATCCAATTCGCATAACCGATCGACCATCATTCTTGTACAGATTACATTCGCTGTCGTTGAGAGTCATAATACTCGCGCATCCATTTTCTTTTTCCACGTGCAACTAATACGTAATGAAAAGTTTAGAATGTGTTTGTTACTTGAACTTTATGAATGTTCGAAAATTAATCAGGGTCTTCGGAATATTTATTATATAAATATATATATATAAATATAAATATAAATATAAATATAAATATAAATATAAATATAAATATATATGCAATGAAAATTTGCATTGTCTAATTTTTCATAGCTACATCAAAACGAATGAATGGTAGAAAACGGCTACGTAGAGGATGACATTAATAAGTAACGGTTCCTGAATCTAAAACATTGAGAAGGAATTCATTGAAAATCATTTATAATTCAATCGACAACCAAAATTAAAATAATAATAATAATAATAATAATAATAATAATAATAATAAAAACAAGACTAAATGGGAGAAAAATAAAAATTGTTAAAAATGCGTTCGTACGAGATATGAAAGTGATTGATTTATATTCAAATAGAAGCAGAATCGTAGAGATTTGGAAACCTTACTTCTTGATCGAGGTATTGGTGTAGTTCAACATGAAAATCAGAGAGACCCAGTATATTAACAAGCATTGGTATTAACCAGTGTAATAATACAAAAAAAAAAAAAAGAAAACAAGGAAAATTCAAAAAAAGAAGACTTTGATATGTTGCTAGTACGCGTTATGGGTATTCCAAATGAATTTCAATATAAGTCTACACCACCAATATACAAATGTACGCACATGTATACGCGTATATGTATAAGAACATTAAGATCTTATAATTTTTAATGACTTTTAATATAGGTTTACTTATGTAAATTAAGAAAGAATAATTGTGCTCAATAAATTTCAATAAATAAGAATTTGGCAATGCTAATATATAACAATTATTATTATTACCACTATTTATACATATAAATATAAATACGTAATATATGTGTCCATAATTATGAAAGTGGTCTCTAAGTGAAAATTAACAGAAAAAAAATGAGTTTATTAGTTATTATGCACCGCATTATTTGAAACTAAATAAATTCAATATAATTTTCACGATATTGTCAAAAATGAATCGTTAGATAATGTTTGTTTTTTCAATATTACATAGAATTCATATTATGTTCAAATAGAAATCTTGAAATATCTCGAAACAAGAGATCCATGATTTAGATCACTTTCATAATTATAAGCACATATACATAATAGTAATCATTATATAAATTATTTACAAGAATTTTTTTTACATATGTAAAATTAATATATTGTTATACAATGAGAGAATTCACTTCCATATTTAATTATGTATTACATATTTCAGTTATGTATTAAGAATCTATCGACAAATTTTTAACGAGCGACGATACGTCAAAAGCATCCGACGAGACGAACACTTTCCTTCTAATAGCCTGCTCGTTTAAATCTACAACAGCCTTTTTGATTTTATTTTTCCATTCCTTCGACTCCTTAGTATTTATAGAACACATTATCACGTCGTTAAGGTAATCTTGAAGAGTATAAGATACCACAGATTTAAATATCAATTTTAAATCGTCTTTTGCTTTTTGTTTAAGAGTACTGTCTCTGCTAACTAAATTCAGAATAAACAGACCATTGTCTGTCAAACAGGAAGCTATCATTTTCAGCAAATCTATTTCGAGAAATTGCTTAGGTGGGCAGCTCATTCCAACGGTAGTGTCCTTGCTGTCAACATCGAAAAGAATAGCAGAGTACTTTTTACCTTCTGAAGCAGCATTTTTTATAAATTCTATACCATCCTCGATGTGTACTCGCATTCTTTCATCCAAAATAAGACCAAAATAATCAATTGCAACTTGAACAATAGCTTCGTCGATTTCGACAGTTGTGATGTTTAACTGCAACACAAAGAAAACATTTTTTTAATGATTCTGTCAATCAGATTAAAGTATAATTAATATTTATTTTTTTTAAATAATATGTCATACATTTGTAAAACAATGATATAGAAATGTACAAAGACGTCCACCACCAAGACCTATGATCACAATTTCATTAGATTTTGTAGAATCTAATATCGTAGAAACACCTACGCTCATATATATGTGGTGTTTATCAGCTAAAAATCCATTATCGATAACTTTCTTCTTTTTATGTCGTCTAGATTTTACTGAAAATATAATTTTTATTAATACACAGATTGTGAAACTTATTTATTGGATAACAGAAATCCATACCTTCTTTAAGACGAGCTTCGCTCTGAATCACATGTGGGTTATTTAAAAAGATCAGTCTTCGCAATGTGTGCTTATTTTCTTCTATTTCTTCAACGACAAAAGAACCACTAATTTCACTCTTGCCTTCATAACAAGTTGTACGAGCATTCAAACTTGTACCTAAAGATAGATAGGGAATATTACTCTTAGCGGGTAAACCTGATGGAGCTAAATTGCGTATACAATCTCCAAGCTCAGTTTTCACTGCATCCAAACTTTCAAAATTATGTTCTCGTCTAAGAGTGACAATAACAAGTCTATCCTGTTGTGTACTATCCAATACCTGCTTTCTTCCTTCTTTAGTACTAAACAACCAATCTGTTTCCCTGTTAAAATAGTAATATTTAACTTCATAAAAATTATGAAACATATTTTGTTGATTACTTCAATTCTTACTTATACGTTAGTAGAACAGAATCCTTACTTTCCTTGTGGTACTATAAATGCAGCATATGATTTCGCTCCTCCAGCACAAGGTTGATTAAGTATGTAAACTGTATATCGAGGATGCTTGTCACCCACTTTGTGTAAATCTAAGCAAATTTCTCCAACATCGGCTATACTTCTTTTATCAAGACAATTGCATATTAAAGCTGACTGTTGAATTGATAATACAGCAGATATCAAAGCGTCTACAGAGGATATTCTTTCAGGTTTACCGTCAGTTAATGAGATTTCAAGGATCTATTCAAATAAAAATATCCATTAGCAATATAAGATTAATTCGATTAATCTAAATTAACATAGTATGTAGAATAATCTTTTTTTTTTTTCACACTCACTGATTCTGTTGGCTTCATAAATTTAGTTGCAACAACAACGAACACAGGAATAGAACTGCCTTCTTCCTGTTTAGTCTTAACTTCAGCTTTATGACATTGTGCAACGCGTATCATAAAATTATTTGCAGTAAAATATGATAATATTTTACGTAGAATATGTTCTTGAAGTAAACTAATACAAATATATCTTCCACCATTACGTAGAACACGTGTGATTTCCTATGGAAGATAATTTTTCATTTATAATTGTCTATATATAAATGAATTTATCTATTATCTTAGACACATTTCATCTTCTTTTGTATACACACAAAATTACCTTAAAATATTTATCAATTACAGATATTGTTTCTTGCTTTTCATTGGGCATTAAAGCATCTAGAGTACCTTTATCCAATACAACATTGAATTTTTCATTCGAATAAGTCATTTGTGTAGCATCCATTTGTTCATATATTAAATCTGGTCTGTCGTTCTTATTAATGTTTAGCATTTGTTTTATAACAACCTCTGATACATCTATATTAGTAATATTTCTATAAGAAAAAAAAAACATATATAGTATGTTTATAAATAATTACAATTGTTTATAATGCTAAAAAGAATTTTAATACCAACCGATATCCAACATCATAAAGTGACATACTCAAAGTAGAATTACCACACCCAACAACAAGTACATCATTGCTTAACTTAATATACTTCATTAAAATATCACATAATTCGGTATATTCTCCATACCTAAGATATTAATAAAGTGTATGAAAAAAATGATAGAATGTAAAAAAAAAAAATATTTTACATTTAATTAATATAAATTTACCATTCAAAACTTTTGTTGCCACGTTTTTTGAAAAATGAATTCCAATATTCCGGCTGACTAAATTCCTCGTGAGTTTTAGGCAAAAGATTCATAATTTTGGTAAAATAATACTTTCAGAATTTAACCTATAATTTACCGGCTTCTACTTTCACGTTATTTCATTACTTTGATATCAAATATCGAAGAACACAAAATGGCGATAAAATATCATAGAAATTTTTGCAAATATTTCTTGAATAATACAAATGTTTTAAATATGGTGACACGATCTTTTACAAATTTATAAATAACAATAAAGCTTTAAGAAACACGATCATAAAAAAGAATTTAAAAAGTGATACTCAACTTGATGTTAAAATAAAAATCGTCAATAGATGGCGTTTAATTTGTCTTCCTTCGTATAAACTTCGAAACCAATTAAAAAAATATATATATATATATATATAAATCGTATTATATATTTACTAAAATAAATAAAAAAAAATTAATATTTATTATTATTTAAAAAAATTACCACAATAAAAATGTTAATATTATCTTAGAACAATTTTGCATTTCATGCTCAATTAATTCTCGTAGAGATGGAGGCGACAATTTATAAACATATTGCAATATATAATAAATAGATAGAAATTATATATTTATAAAAATATATATATATAAAATAAATAATTAACTTTTATATTTATTAAGAAAATATTAATAGAAATTTGTAAATTCATTTAAAACAATTTATATTTCGCGCTTAATGATCCACCAATAAGTATTCTCCTAGCAATCGAAGCGACATCTATGAACACTCTTTCATAACAACGTCCTCTAATTATTGTTGCGTCAGCCATTAAAATACCGTGGAACGCGAGCTGGCGTCTATTATTGTTGGATATTCATCGATCGAATCATCTATACACGGTCAGCGAACGGTTGGTTCTCGTCCTTGCCAGCACCGAAAAAGGTTGAGTGTACGAAAGAAGTAAGTAAAGTAAGTTATTTTCCTTAATTATTAGCAGACATCATTCGCTCGTTAACGTCAAACGTAACACTGTAATTTCTCACGAAATAATTGATTTAAAATAATGCTCTTTTTTTTTTTTCCAAGAAATATTAATGAAAAGAAAATTTTTTACTTTCGTCATTACTATGGTATTATACCACGTGCAATTTTTCGCATAGACGCGAAATATCAAGCTGACGTTACTCAGTAAAAATGTCTAATTTCGAATTCCTCGAACAAACGAAGTGTTACGTATTTTCTTTGTTCAAACATATACATATATACATATATATATATATATATTTAAATATAATATATATATATATATATATATATATATATATATATTTGAAGAAGAATGAAGTATTACATAATCTGGCCCTGAGCCAGTGCCCTACTGTACTTTATTTCTACTTGTAAATAGGTGTGTGATCTCTTTTGGCTAGCATAGATATTCTTTTGTTTCATCTTTTCAATTCCATCATTTTTACGAATTATTTTCTTATATTTCATTAATAACTGATGTAAGATAGAATACAACTTATGAAAGACTAACTTTAGGAAATACTTTGTACATTGTACATCTCGTTACGAAATAATATGACGTTTCAAATTTCTTACGAAATTATCTACATATGTCGATAAAATAATGAGAAATAAAGGGTTAAACCAAATTTTCCTTTTTTCTATAATAACATTTATATCTTGATATTATTAAGTAATAATCTTATTCGATTTACAATTAGTGATTTAAAGCTCTATCAAATGGGTAATATTTTCCTACTTTTCTTATCTATAAAGGATAGTAATCTGTGCAAATTATCCAAGTGGATTTGATTGTAATCTGACCTCTCATCGTTCGCTTGTTTTATATTTTTTTTCTTTTTTTTTTTTATTATTCAATTCCCTTTATATTTGTTCGATCATCAAATCTACTCTCTTAATCGAGCCATCTGTGATTGTACGCATGCGTATTATCTATACCGCGAAAAAAGAAGTGCAAGCGCAAGCATCGATTCATTACATGTTTCAACCTCATTTTACTTTTTTTTCTTTTTTTTTTTTTGCTCTCTTTTTGAGATTTAAATTAGATAACATGGTCACATTGTTAATGAAACATTTTTTAAAACATCGTACTTAAGTACTTATTTTTATCAGCTAGCGTAATTAATGTGATTAATCGTCTTATGAATGAATCAATCTGATTATGAATAAAAAAAAAAAAAAACCCCAAATGAGATTAATATTATCAATCATTTTGACGATAATGGTCGCTTATATTTTTATTTTCGTACTTTTAATTAATAGCACACACCGAATTTGGTATTTGTCCATTTTTAAAAACATTTACGCGATTTCATTTATAATTAGAAAAAATTTGTATTACATTTGATATAGTAATTGATCGCCATTTTTGTAATTGCTTGACATACCCTTATGCGATTTATTTTGCGATAAAAAAAATTTAAAAGAAAATCGTTTAATAAATTCTTTGATCTTGATAATAACCTGTGTTACGTTGATTCAATGTTTAAAATATCTGTCTCGTGATAAAATTCTTCTAAAGCAGACGTTCTTTTGATGACGCAGGCGTGAATGATTATAAAAGCAATCTTCTACGTAACTACTACGTCACGATCACGAACTTGTAATGCACTTGTAGTAGTTGAGACATAAGTACTTTAGAAATTTATAGACTACTACATAACGCATAATGCACCGTCGAATATATTATTCGTTTAATTTATTTTTAGACAACATGTACAAGTATTTTTTAGTGAATTTATTTTAATTATTATTCATTATTTATCGTTTTAGTAAAAAGAAGAAATATGGGTGTACCTGCAGGTGATCCAGAAAAGGGAAAGAAGGTGAGATATTAACACAAATATTATCAATATAAATATTATAAATATATTTTTATAAATAATATAATATAATTTTTATAATTTAATACATTATATATATATAATTTATATAATATATATAATGTAATTTTTATAGATATAAATATATTTAATATATTTTTATATTAATTATTAATTATTTTATATTATATATTTAATTAATTTAATTATTATTTTATATTATTATTAAATATATTGGTTATTATGTTTTTAGATCTTCGTACAGAAATGCTCACAATGCCATACGATAGAAGCTGGTGGCAAACATAAAGTAGGACCAAATTTACATGGTCTGATCGGTAGGAAAACTGGCCAGTCACCCGGTTATTCGTATACGGATGCTAACAAAGCTAAAGGTACATATTTAACATTTTCAAATTCATTCGTTTTCGATATTTAACTTCTTCATTCTAATAATAATTCTTTTATTAGGTATTACATGGAACAAGGATACTCTGTTCGAATATTTGGAAAATCCAAAGAAATACATTCCCGGCACGAAGATGGTGTTCGCCGGTTTGAAGAAACCACAAGAACGTGGTGATTTAATCGCTTATATCGAACAAGCGTCTAAATAAAAAACTCGCTGTGCGTGTATCGAAGGTGGTGAAGCACGAATTCGCATGCGGGTTTAATGTCACGCAAGAAATCTTAGTACTATTATCATCATCTTAATTCTTGCTGACGTTTCTCTCACATTTCATCAAAAAAAAAAAAAAAGAAACAAACAAACAAACTCATTTCTAAAGATTCTCCTCCTTCACTCACTCAAAGGCGTTAACGTCGATATTCAAAATCTAGTGACAAATTGTTATTGTTAATAAGTAGATAATACAGTGTTACAATTATGTACGATACATTGACAAAGAAAGGAGCTTGGCTAGAACAAGTCTTCTTTCTTCATCTTCGAAGATATTCCGGTCAAAGTCTCACGGATGGCTGAGCCACTCGTTAATCGTACATCGTAATTATTTATTGCCATTGTGTACCGATCGAATCATTCAACTAACGTTTGTCATTTCTGTACAACGTAGTAAAAACCAGAATACAGATTCGAAGATACATTTCTAATGCTCTTTATTCTTTTTTTACGATTTTGTTTTAATTAACTCTTTGTACTCTAATGATCGTTATTCCCGAACGATCTATTTAATATAAAATATAATTAAATCGTTCGTAAGCAATTTTTAGAATTTTTCAAATTTTATTATCAAAACATTTGAGTAATATTATTTAATTGTTTATAATTTAAAATAAATTTTTTTACTTAGTATTAGGTGGTTCGGAAAGTCGTTTCGTTTCGTTTTTCTTTTGTAAATATGAAGATAATATTTGCTTCGAGGTTAAACTTAAACCTTTCAAGTGGTCATAAATAGTTAAATTTGATAAATTTAACCTCTCATCGATCTCATGTGTTACTATTTGTCGGTTTGCATGAACCAATGCCATTATTGTGTCAGCACAAAACGAGACAACTTTCCGAACCACTTAATAATTAGATTAGCAAATGAAAATTTTATAACCGTTTACTAATACATTATACAGCAATTAATATTTTATCTACCTGTTGCTTCATTAAATTAATCGATTAGTCAATGAATGACTCAATTAAATATTTTTTCATAGACTTTTTTTTTTTAATAAAATAATATTTTCTAATTTCTATTAATACGGCATCAGAAAAATGTATTGGAACTTGTCAGTAAATTATATTATAAAATTAGCTAGAGAGTACAAAGGGTTAGTTTTACGAATGAACAAATAATCGATACGAATATCCTTTTTAATTTCCAACTATGTTATTTTCTTATTAACGTAAGTTTGTATGGTTACAAGATAAACAATTCTTCAATGATAAGACATGAACGAGGAAGGATGCGGTTAAAGTGGTAGGAAACTGATCTAGGTTTACATGCGTATGGGAGTTACAAAATCTTTAACTGGACAAAAACTTTATTTAGTTGAAACGAGTCGTTGCGAAACGATAACGTGTTCTTTGTACTTTTTTTCTGTAGAAAACGAAAAGAAAAAAAAAAAAAAGAAAAAAAGGTCAAATTTCTTATTAAAATCAATCATGGATAATAATAATCCTTCCTCGTCGTCAGAAAATTCGAATAACGAGTCGTGTTGCAATTTACGAAGTAAAAAAATAACGCCGTTAAAACTTTGCCTAACTCGTGTATTCAGTTCGAACGCCTTACGAAGCCCTAAAAGTCCTTCGAATTCTGATTCTCAAGGATCGAGTCCGGGTTATTCTGCGAGTCCTGTCAAAGCAAGACATTCTTGGCAAATTTATTTTTTGAAAAACAAAGACGATAGATCTCCGCGATCCTCCGAAAGTGGAATTTCCCTATCTCCACCCTCGAAATCGTTGATGTACGAAACATGTTCAGATTTATCGGAAACTTCTCCTAACAGTCGAAGAAATTCTTGTTCTCCTACGTGGTACGCTAACACAGGGTAAGTAAATATAATATTACATAATTCACACACTTACATTGTTCAAAAAATATATATATATATATAATAAATATAAAATATGAAATATTATATAATCAAAATGCAGTCCTTTAAGTATACAAAAATATGATATATTGTATATGAATTTTTATATTCAATTAAAAATAGAATTGGAATAGAATACGATTTGAAAATAACTATAAATCTTAGTATATCACAAGACATTCAGTTTCAACGTCAAGATATAGTGGAAATTGAAAATGGGCGTTGTTTCGATCTGTCCCATCACAACATAATAATTTATTCGTTTCATTTTTTTTTTTTTTTTTAAACGATAATGGTAATCAGAAATGATTAACAACTTTGAAATTACTTTACGATGTCGAAATAACTTATTTGATATTTTTCTTTTCTTATCGGCCAAATACTTGTCACGATTCTAATGATACTTAAATCATTGAAACCATTCAAGAGAAGAAAATTCTACAGTCGTTAGAAATTATAGTCGATTACCGATGATTGGGTTATCGGACCAAAACGACTTTTATCACGTCTTTAACAGGCCAACCTGCTGCTGCTGCTGCTGCTGCTGCTGCTGCTGTTACTATTAGCTATTAGTTGTTAGCTTCATTGAGATTAAGTTCATAGGAGAGGAAACTCTTTGACGATGTTTATATGGCATATATGTGTCAATGGGAATAGAGAGTGGGAGGATTACATATCGATCGTAAGAATATTATATACTAATTAGATATTCGCGACATACTTAATAAATAATAGCGAAAAGATTGAGATCTCATTTATCAAAAGATTCTTCTCTCATCTAATTTATATTTCATTAAACATTGTCGCGTGACATTCAAATATAGACTTTAAATATGTCACCATTATTATATAATATTCAAGTGACCCTTACAAATTTACCATAATCACGTAACATTTAAATATACTTCGAGAAATTGAACATGGCCACGTGAAATTTTCACAAAAACTTCAAATTCATTAATATTCTAACATCATAATATTCAATTGTATATTATTGTCATTTGATATTTAAACAGACCTCGAATTTGTTCAATCTTATGACATAATTATTCAAGTAGACCTGAACTTTTCAACGTCGTCACGTGACATACAAGTAGACGACGTCATATTTTCAATATTACCCACGCGCGACGTTCAAATAAACATTTCAAATGATTTGTCATTAATAAAAATCGTTTTGAGAGAAACAGTAGCAAAATCGAAGAAAGTATATAACAAATGATAATGTCTGTCTGTCTGTCTGTCTCTGTGTGAGTGTCGAATCAGATTGAAGGAATAAATGAATGATCAAAGAAGTGGTAGCAAATCCTTCGCGCAGGAAAACGAAGGGGGAAGATGTCAGGTCGATGCAGCGCCGGCGCTGCGAAAAGCGGCGCTGCGGAACACGTTCCCACCAGGTCGCTTTTCTCTCTCTCTCTCTCTCTCTCTCTCTCTCTCTCTCTCTATCTTTCTTTTTCGCGTTGGGAGAGCGCAACTCTTCTCCTCGCACAAAGTACACTACACGAAGCGCTTCTGAACAGTGTAGAACGGGCTTGCGACGACGAGAGCTCTACTCTAGTAAGCAACTAGGAATTTAATCCAAAATATACGTACGCAAACAACAGGTAAGTCGGGATAATAATATATCTCTCCTTTACCTTTCTCTCTCTCTCTCTCTTTCTCTTTTTTATCATCTCGTTTTATCTCTTCGTGATAAAAAGAAAAAAAAATGACAAGATAAGTATCCGTCTTGTGTTTTTCTTCTTTTTGTTTTTTTTTTATATTTTTCAAACGTTCGTCGTTAGATACATCAATGTAAAAAGTATTCGTGTGTGAACATCTAACTCGAAAGATTAGATGATTCTATAATAATAATGATTATGAAAATAATCAATTACCAAGAGTTGACAGTGATCGATTTTTATCTCCATTCCAAAATGGAACTTCTTTCTTTTTTACTCTCGCGTTGGACTCTTCCACCTATCTCCATCTACACGCGCCTTATTCATTCATCTAAGTAATTAATGTTGAAGACTTAAGATTGATCGACTTTGACTTTGGGAATCCTTTCATCGAGATTTTCTAATAGTTTAGTTTCTTGTAGATTTTATTAATGTACGTTGAATTGATTTTAAATAGATTCGAGTATATATATATATAACGTATGCCAAACGTCATTGACTTATTTTACGTAGGACCGAACGGATGTATGTGTACATGCATGTATATATATAATATATGTATCTATATGTTACATATACATTGATGATCACGAAGGTAACGTTTAACGCATATAATTGTGGTGCGTGTCGCGTCGCTGCCCTTGCGCGGGCAATTGCTCGTTCCTGTAATTGCATCTTTCATAGACCATGACAAAAATGCATCATCTATATGAATTGTTTTTTTTTTTTTTTTTTTTTATATTTTTCTATTACTCAACCTTCAATTTTGATCTTTCATACTTCGTTTATCCTGTCATTTTAATTTTTCATTGATAAATATCTAAAGAAATAAAAGAAAAGAAAACAAAAACGATTCATTATCATCGTTCATTTGATATTTTGTTTGATTTCATTTTACAATCAAAACAAAAACAAAAAAATACCGTCAAATTTCAATTTATTTTCATTTATTCGTATTATAAGGGGAGGTAAAAATAAAAATTCATTTAACGGGCTGATAAGAATATACGAGATTTGATATTCTCGAGTGAAGATGGAATGGCCTCGAGCAACGAACGAAATTTAGGGCAGGCTGATTCCCAGTCCACGCGCAGTGAGAGATATTTAGTAGATATACAGTTACATACAAATATCACCTGTGTAGATATTAACAGTCTTTTTCCCTTTTCTTTTTTCTTTTTTTTTTTTCCTACTATTCCCTCGCTTTTTCCTTGTATATTGTACTGTATATCTATATCTATATACATAGGTAGCCTGCATCATCAGACAAAAAGTAGGTCTAGGGAATCAGCTGACAGAAAGAGGCGCGTGCGCTTCGGCAACGCGATTCGAAACGCCCACAAAAGTACACCTACGCTACTGGAATCCAGGAAACGGGAATAACGAGTTTCGACATTATTTCACGAAAACGTGATACTTTTTTCTATATATATATAATTGCATTGTGTTGTTTCGAAATACTTTGTAAATGTTTTTTTTTTTTATTATCGTTACTTTTTAAATATTTTATTTGTGAGATTAAAAACAATAATCAATCGTTTTGTACTCGTCATCAAATTTAGAGTTTTGTTAAACGTCATATTAAACGTCAACTTTAGAATTATTGTTTATTTTTTGTACTTGTCGAGAGTCGTCGTATCATTTCATAACGTGTTATTCACAACGACCTTGACCAAGTGGGCGTCCTGTAATACAAGTATGTATGCACGTACGTGTTTATTTAAGTGGATACGTGCTGATAAACAAAGTCGAGGGTGGAACGTAACGATGCACTAGTCTCGAATGAACAAAAAATAAAGAAGAAAAAAAAAGACAGAAAATAAGGAAGGAAGGAAGGAAAGATATTTCTTGAAAGATCAATAGCTTCGTAAGAATTTTAATGGGAAAAAAAGCTCGGGATGATTAAAGGCTTACGAACGTAATCGAAAACGCGAATAACTCGTGGATCTTTTGGTTTAAACGAAAAAAGAAAACAAACGTGTTTTCTCTTTTCTTAGGACTGGAACGTTTTAACACAAGTATATATATATATATATATATATATATATATATAAATTGATGCAGCGAGAGTAAAAATAAAATAAGAAGAAGAAGAAGAAGGTAGAAGAAAAAAAAAAAGGAAAAGTAGTACGACGAGACATGGGAAAATCTCGTTTGTGTGCTAGATTATAATAGGATTAGAATAGATCATGATGATTAGATTCTTGAGACATTAGGTTCGAGAGATGTCGTTTTTAAAAGGTAAACTATGCGAAGAAACTGTGTTAATTACCTAACCAAATAATGATATTCGAAAGTAATGATCACGAAGCTTTCGTCGTTATTTATTGACGACGAATGACTAGCTAAAAAGAAAATTCAAACGATGATTTTCTCGGGATGTTTCTTTTTTCATTTTATTTCATTTTTATTTATCATCTCTCATCTACATATATACATACATACATACATATATACATACGTACTTACATAAGTTCATGCATGACATTACCTACAGTATAATATCGATTATCTTAACCCCTTACGATTCAATGTATTTTTAATACGAGAGGCCATTTTCGAGGAAAATTTTCTCATATCGTTCGATAAGAATAGCTATTATTATTATTATTATTATTATTTCATTTAAGCCGATAAGTCAAACCGGTTCGTGGTTTTTCATATTTCCGTAATGGCAAGGACGATGCAAGTTAAATAGAGAGATTAAGTTTATCAAGAAAAAAAGAGAAATAATGAGAAAAGATTAGTAGAAAGTAGAAAATGATTAACAATGAGATACACGTTATCTTTTAATCTTCCATTGTATTTATTTATTTATTTATTTATTCCTTTTATATTTATACCGTCAATATAAAATTATAATTATTATCAGGATTATCATTAGAAAGTACGATATTGTTTAAGTTCGGAAATGTTTATAACGGTAAATACACTTGCGTCAATGCATATAGTTGGTGGGTGAAAAACACGAATAGGACATAATAAGAACTAGAAAGAGAGAGAGAGAGAGAGAGAGAGAGAGAGGGAGGCAGACACAGAGAGAATTAATAATAACCGTGTAAGGACGTTCGGAACGGTAGCTAAATCGCTTCTTCCGCTTCAGGTATGAAGTACTCACCGCAGCAGCAGCAGCAAAAGGAAAGAAAGTCGGAGAGTGAGGTTGGCTCGGTTGAATTGACATCGAGTCAGGAACCTAATCAACAACGTGGCTCAATGGCATCGATGGAGAATCCGAAAAACAACGGATCTTCTTCATCGAGTTCGCTCGCTAGAAGGACGATTTGTCGCTCTCCGTCGAGCGGCATGTTCGCCTGGATGCGTGTCTTTCGGTTGGCCTCGATGTTACATCAGGTTGGTTGCTAGAACCAAGTCGGCTTACGCGACGTCGCAGCAGCAGCAGCAGCAGCAGCAGCCGTAGCAACTGCAGCAACTGCAATACAACTGCAGCAACAATCGTCAGCCGATATACAATTTGCCACGATCTGAAGATTTGTTCGGATCGTATTTAGAGATATTTTTAAAAAGCAGAGTTTTAACGAAGATGTAACGAGAGCGACAGATAGATAGAAAAAGAAAGAAAGAAAGAGAGTGTGTGTGTGAGAGAGAGAGAGAGAGAGAGAGAGAGAGAGAGAGATAGAGAAAACAAGAGCGAGATAGATAGATCGTGAGAGAGAGAGAGAGAGAGCAAGTAAAAGAAAGAGAGAAAGAAGATTTTTAACAAGTCGCGTTGTGATTTTGGCCGATATACCTACTACCCTTTTCCCTTTCTATATAATCAATTTTTGTTGTCTTTTCCTACAATATCTTTTTTCTTTCTCTCTTCTTTTAATCTTCTTCTCTCTAGGGCCGAATCTTCGACGTAGGAACGACCGTAGCTCGATCATAGTGCGTTACGCAATTACGTGTTAACAGCCACGGGCGACGTACTAGTTACGATCACGCCTACTACTACTACTACTATTACTACTACTATTACTAGCAGTAATACTATTACTACTACTACTACTACTACTAATACTACTACTAATACTATTACTATCACTACCACCAAATACTGTTACTATTAGATACAGAGTAACAAGTTTACTCTTGTTGTAACGGATATAAATAGAAAAGACCAGTCAGAAATTCTCGGTTCGTTGATTGATCGATCGCAGTCGTTGATTAGCGTTGATTAGCCAGCCTCCAAATCGACGATCCTTTCTTCTTTATTCTTTCCTGTTTCTTCCCTTTCAATCGCAATCCTTCATCTTTGTTCTTGTTAGCTCAATCGTTTACGAATCTCTGCCTAACCCAGATATACGATTTTTTTTTCGGATATCGTCCTCCTTTTTTGTTGTACATTCCATTTAATCTCTTATGAAAGACGAGAGACTATATTAATCTCTCTTTATTTCATACCATATTATTACGCGCGCATGCTTCAGGTATCTAAAATTTAAACGAACTTAACATCCAATTTTTAAGCTTTACGTTTATTTATTTTATCGTAGTTATTATCTTGATAATCATATTTATCATCTATTATTATTATTATTATTATTATTATTGTTATTATTATTATTATTATTATTATTATATTTAAGCAATGTTACAACGTTGAATCGTTACATAAATATATTTGAACACGAGGAGGCAAGTTTCGAGAAATAAAGATTTTGCCTTACAGCGTCATGTGAGCACTTTCCTAAGCCAATCTCTTTCGAAGGGGAAGACAAAAATGCGAACTTTTTGTTCATACGAGAAAGAACTTTGTGGGAGCTCGTAAAAAAAAAAAACAGTAGAAATAAATAAAAAAAAAAAAAAAATTTCAATCGCGTTGGACGAGAACCATATAAAGGTGTACCGAGTGCGAAGGTGTAATTAGGTAAGAAGTAAGAACCATTGGAGAGAAATACGAGGGAGGAGGTGGAGGAGTTGATGGAAACCTCAGCTAGCGAAAGTGAGTCATTCGAGAAGAGTTTAAGTATAGTACACGTACGTTAATATGCCCCTTCGTGCGGTTCATATTCGCAACCAAGTGGAAAATTCAAAATGGCTACCTGACAGGACGAATGCACGCAATGACGACAGAATCGGTAAAGATTTATAACGGATAATGATCTAACCACTCATTCTCTAACTCCTTCTCCTCGAGAGGAGAATCGCGAGAATACCTTTGCTTACGTAATGTTCATCTAATGACACGAAAAGGACGCTCTCTCTTTTTCCTTCCTTCCACGTTCTACCACGAGTTTCAATGTTTATTTAGACGGAGAATATATAATGACGTCTAATGACTTTTTACTCATTGCATTTAACTTTCTTTCGTAACTCTTATTCTTGTTTTTTTTTTCTTTTCTTTATTTTTCCTTCTCTCTTTTCTTTTTCTTTTTCTTTTTTTTTTTTTTTATCTTTTACATCAAGAAGAACATACACATACGTATGTACTGTATAGTTATATACGTGAATTCTATACAAGAAAATTAACGAACTTCTTTAGTAAAGATTTCGTAATTTGTTAATTATCGCGCGTAAAAAAGAAAAAAAAAAAAAAGAAAAAAAAAGTAAGTAGCCGAAGAATTTACATATACATACAAGTATCACGAGAAGTTTCCAGTATTTAGGTTAGACGCATGCGCGGCGAAGAATAGAGAATAGAAAGACAAAATTAAAAAGGGAAAGAAAGAAAAATGCAATCTACTTTTCATCTTTCTTCCTCTCATTTCGCGCTCGACCCGGCAACAAACATGGAAAAAATGAGAAATAAGAATTCGGGGAAAAAGCATCCATCTCTCTCTCTCTCTCTCTCTCTCTCTCTTCGTAAAAAGCTCCATCGATCGCGAAGGTTTGCATGAAAAAAAAGAAAAAGGGTTGTTTCTCTTATCCTCCCCATGTTACTCGGATGGTATTGTCCGGCCGAGCAAAGTCGAAGTTCGACGAAGTTATCCGAAAGTGGCGCTATCGCAAATGATAGGAACGCGTTCGGCCGATAAGGCAGTGTTCGTCGATGCTCGTACGCGGTCGTAAATGCGTTCGTCGCAAAAGAGAGGTGGGCTTACATTTTGGAGGGGGAGGCTCGTAAACACACAGTCTCGCGAGAGAACTCGTGCAGCTATTACGTCTTGTTCTTGGCTTCGACACAACGCATTTGAACGTCTTTCAAAGGAGAACAACTTTAATATAATAATCAAAGGAGTTCGAAGATAAGAGAAACGCATTGTACACACACACATATATATATTCAAATATACATAAATATATAAATACATACAAATATAGATAGATATAATTCATTGTATGCGAAATGCGTCGACCCTTGATACGACACCTGTCCGAGGGTGCTGGGGGTGCAGGTGAGGGGGCTAGTAAGAAAAGGCAACAAGGTGTAAAAGAAGAAGATCGAATCGTCGGGTACTCTTGGTCCTGTCGCGAATACGGTCATCATCTTTCATCCTGTGATCTTCTCAAGGTACCTGCCACCGTTCTTGAATCTCGTACCAATTCTGCTACCAAGACCTCACCACCTCGTAGTGCATCTTCGCAGGAACCCCGTCTTGGAATTCACAGGTCAGATTTCATATTGTCAATCATTTAATTGTTATTTTACAACGAAATTTCGATTTATTATTCGATGTTTTTTCTATCAATAATTGTCGATCAATTATCTCCAAATTAAATCGAATAGATACGAAAAAAAGATTTAAGATAGTTTTTCTTCTCCTAGTAGCACAAAATATTGAAAAATATTGAATACATTTGTATTTAATATTAAAAAGACATTAAATCTCTTTTTTATATATATATATATATATAATATTAAATTCATATGTATTCAATATTTTTCAATATTTTGTGCTACTAGGGTCTTTTCTTGAGAGAGATTTTTTTATCAATGTTTTTTTTTTTAAATTTGAAACAAATTTATATCTTTCTTAGTAGTTTAATTTATTTTCGATATATGATAATGAAAATTAATGGGATTAAGCTCGATTACAATAATTTGCGTCTAACTTGAAATGCAACCATTGAGAAATTTGAAAGTTCATTGTAAAGGCGGGAATTATGAAACACCAAGAGTTCGATTATCTATTCAATTATCTTCTCGCTTGATGGAGAGAAAGAGAGCTCGTTTTGTATATAATGAATAACGTGAAACTGAGGATTTCTCGAGTATAATGGATCGTGATCTGTAATCAACGATGCTACCGAACTCGTAACGCACTATCGCCTTGTAACGACGTTATCTATAATACATTACACAATGATCGTTTTCATTTGATCGGCCTTCCTAACATCATAGAATTTCATTTTTGTTTTAATATATAAAAACAATTATAATACATACAGAGACTTGTTACATTCCAGTATATATGTACAATCGGTATTGGAGCATAAGTCGATAAATAAGGTACGTGATTCAATATGCTTCAAAGCGGTTTATTTATCACATATGTTAATACATATGTCATGAATAAGATACCTTTTGTTATCTTATTTAATGGTAGATTAACGTTTAATTAAATTATATCGATCACGTCTCTAAGTGGAATGTTGTAACAAGTATTATAATTAAAATTCTATGTAGATTTTTCACTTATGTTAGATAATTTCTAATCGTCTTGTGTGTATCGTGTTTAGAATTTTTAACTGTCGAGATAGATAAAGTTACTGATGGGAGTAAAAGGATAATAAATCTTAACGAACAAAACAAGGAATACAACGAAATGTAAAGTTAATTCATTATTTATTACTTTTCTCATTTCATAGTAAAACGTATATGTGTCTTAAGGAAAACAAGCCAGTGCTGGTGTAACGTTCCTTAAAGTACATAGGAAAATCGTAATCCCCGTAAGAGCTTGTACCTTGCAATTAGACGAACGAGACCGTTCATTACGTCGTACAGAGGACAATGAAGAAAGTGCTCGAATGTAGGATAACGTAAAATACAGAGGACAAGAAGAGTGTACCTTTGTGACATTTTATTATAGGATTTACGTGAAACTTGTACTTTCCTATTTTCTCATTTATACGGTATATAGTAATCATTCTCTTTTATTCAATTGAAAAATCAACTGTTTCGAAGTTTATCTTTGCCATTGAAACTTTCCCTTTCCTTTTATTTCATTTTATATGATATTAAATAACTTTACGTTTCAATCGCACTATTTATCTTTCCTTTCTCTTACATATACAATATATATATATATATTTTTTGTTTGTTTTATTTTTTCCTTCTTTTTTAAAAAGAAACATTTGTCAAAGAAATAAGAAGGATTCAACGTCGGATAAATAAACACTGGATTATTATTTTACGAACAAACTATCTCTATAGTTTACGTAGGAAATACTCTTATATATACAGTCGATATAAGAGAGAGAGAGAGAGAGAGAGAGAGAGAGAGAGAGAGAGAGAAAGAAACGCATTGGTGGATAGAGATTTCATCGGCGTAGGAAGGAAAACAATATACCCTCGTCTTTATACGAATAAAAGGCAACAAAGAAAGAGCTCGTGTACGATGGATATGCATTTCATTCAACAAGTGCTCACAGGCGCTTACTCCACGTCGTCGTTTCGTCTAACCTGTTGAGAGAGAGAGAGAGAGAGAGAGAGAGAGAGAGACAGAAAGAGAAAGAACTATT